CTGACACAAGCAATTACAACAGCAGAGTCGCAAGAAGAAAACCGTGGGAGCTGTGGACCCAAGTAAAAACCCAGATGCATATCTCTTCATGATCGAGCAACTAGAGAAACTTGTGAAGGCTGCGAAGGAGGTGCATAAACATTGGAAGTGCTGGGTCATCCCAGCAGAGCCACAACAATTCCAGAGTCGTATCAAAGACCTTGAAACCATCCTGCCAAAACTTACAATAAGACAAGCAGAATTTATATGAGCACACGTCGGAGGAGAAACCAGCAGATTAAGTACTACTTTAATCAGTCGTGTGACCACACCAGTAATTAAATTAAAGCCAGCTGCCCTCTCAAAGTTTTCTGGCATCCGCCGAGAGTTTCACCGATGGAAAATGGATTGGGAAGCACTTCAGTTACAGGGAGAACGTACTGGATCCAAAGAGATTAAAAAGTTCCAACTTCTCGACAGTGTGGATGAGAAGACCATACGAGACCTCCGCCTTACAACTTATACAACTGCTGAGGAGATTTCCCGGGTTTTGGAGAACCGCTTTGGAAATAAGACAACTATAGCCCTTGAGATCGTAGAAGAGCTCCAAAGACTCCAAGCAGTTAAAGGTAACCAGCCTAGGTCAGGCTAGTAATAAGCAGCCATGAAGTATTACTACTTTTATTACCTACAGACTAAGTCTGTGAATTATATTAGTAGTATTACCTACAGACTAAGTCTGTGAAAGGCACTGTATAAATACATTTTACTTACTTCCTTACAATGTAAAACTCGGCGCTTAGCGTCTACGTCACGGCTCTCAGACAACCCTCTGTTTGTTGATTGGCCGGCTGTATTCAGACTGGTGGAAAACTGAAATATAGGCTGCCATCTCAGACTGACTACAGGAGTGAAATGAAATTAGCGGAAGTAGGAAGTCTGACGTAGACAGACTAATGTTTTCCCCCAACCATAAATTCCCCAACCATTTATAGTTTTTCAAAATGAATAACAGATGACATAAAGTCCGTAAACTCTGTTAAAAACTGTCCAGCAGGACCAGGAGGACGATAAATGAGGATGCAAAATAACGGCTTTATCCGGCCAATTCTAGTGATTTGCAGTTCAAAAGAAGAAAAAGTTTCCACGCTCACCAGCTGACAAGAATAGCTATTTCTCCATACTATGGCAAGTCCTCCACCGCGGCCAGTCGTGCGATTTCATGTGTTGCGTGACGTCTCTGCGCCCAAGTAGCAGTGATTCGCCTTAGCAGCAGTGCTTCGCCTGTGCTTCCCCCTAATATAGTCCCAAGTCAATATCTGCCTAGGAAATCGCTGAGTGTTAATCTGCGTCGCTATTTGTACTCGTTGCCATATGTCATGTTATTTTAGTCAGAGATGACGACGCTAATGCGACACGCATGATCACCTCAGATGAGCAGCTGAGTTCCTATTCTTCAAGCCAACGCGCCGCATTCTATCGCAAATCAAAGTGAAAGTAAGTCGCAGACACTTCACACTACAATCTTCATTAAAAGTAAAGAAACGAAATGATCTTACCTGGGCTGTTGCAGCTCTTGCTTATTGCTGTCTTTGCTGATTTTGAAATTAGCCGATGATTAATAAAATGCAGCTCATATCTGTTGCTTTCTGTGACGTGCACTTAATTCAATTTGTATATAGCATGGGAATTGAAGATCGGATATATATCCGTTTTGCAAAAACACATTTATGTGACCAGGTGTAAAAGGAATCATTTTGATAAATCAGATAGCTATCCAATCTGAGAACGCATGAAGTGGCCAGGTGTAAACAGCCCCGTTGAGTTTGGCTGCACTTTATCTAATGATAGCCAGGAATTGATTGGCAAGTTAAAGGATTTGCTTCTGTTAGTTTGAACTTGAACGAGCATAAAGCATTAGTTTTGATTTTTTATTAGTTTTGCTAATATCCACACTGTTCTTATCACATATGGGTTTGAAACGAATTTCGTTTCGCAAGGAGAAATGTTGAATACAACTGAACAGAACAGAACCCAATTTGATGATTGTAAGAACAGTGAATGCATGTTTATGAAGGTGACAGATGCCTATTTGTTTTTCATAAGGTCCGATGTTTCTCTTTCTTTCTTGGCTGGACGGGGCTGGACGGAACCAGCGATGAAGAGCTCGGGCTCGGCGGGGCTGGACGGAACCAGCGGAGAGGAGGGCTCGGGCTTGGCGGGGCTGGACGGAACCAGCGATGAAGAGCTCGGGCTTGGCGGGGCTGGACGGAACCAGCGATGAAGAGCTCGGGCTTGGCGGGGCTGGACGGAACCAGCGATGAAGAGCTCGGGCTCGGCGGGGCTGGACGGAACCAGCGGAGAGGAGGGCTCGGGCGTTGGAGTGGGGCTGGTGACGTCGTCCACGGTGAAGGAAGATCCACAAGACACCAGCACCCAGTCCACACAGGCGGCGAAATCCTCGTCAGGACCGTTCCCTGGGAGGCGTGCCCGGGACCGCTCGCTGAGGCTGGCAATGTAGAATACACACAGCGAGCGGTCAGAATAGTGGGTGAGGCACACCAACTCCAGAAAATCCCTGGTGTAGGATTCCAGGGAACGGTTTTCCTGTTCTAGGCAGAGGAGGGCTACGGCGGGAAAGTCCATCTTTCGTTTTGGGTCGGTCGTTCTGTCACCAGGAGCTGCAGGCAGAAGAGGACGAGGAGTCAGGATTCCAACGAAGATAATATTTATTCAATATACATGTAAGAAGACAGGTAACGGGTACAACGCAGGGTAACATTCACAACGACCGATAAAGACTGAATCAAACAGAGGGAACTAAATACAAGGAGGAATCAAACATAATGATGTGAAGACAGGTGATACTGATGAACAAGACGAGGAACAGGTGGCTGATGAGGGAGTGAGTTCGGGAGTGGAGACAAGAGGATCCTGGGAAGTGTAGTGCAGATGACGAAGACAGACTGGTGCAGACGAAGGACTGTGACAGCTATAAATTAACAAGAAGGATATTTGTGAGATGTATGTGCGTTTGTCCGTGCACGAGCAGCGGCTGTGTGCAGCTCAGAAAATGATAAAACACGAAGAATCGATTTTCTATTCCTAACCCTACTAACTAGCCTATAGAAAATATTTAAATCATGCTATTGCATGTAAATAAATATGTCTATAGGGTATGTGAAATATATTTGTCTTTTTTTTAATTGACGATTATCATTTGGGAAAAGACTTATAATCGACATCGTGATACTTGCGAGACATCGTCAATATACGATAATATCGTCATATCGCCCAGCCCTAGTGCGCAAAGATCGCTGAATGCAGAAGTACTACGTGTCAGCGTGATAAATACCCTATTGTAACCCTTGAATGACAAGATAAGGGAGGCTCTGTTTCTGAACTTATAATCGGATTCAGAACCCAAGAACCACTGAACAAACTCATCAGCCGAACACACACGCTCGTTTCTCTCTACCGGCCTTTCCCGAACTCACCGCATAATCCAATAAAGGTGGGCATACACTGTGCGATGTCTGTGCGATTTCAGCAAGGTACCTACTCACACTCAACGAGTTAATCGCAATCGATGCAAAGCCAAAGTTCAGGATTTATGTGCTCACACTGTACGGTCTGATCGTCGAGCTGCGAATTCACTGCTCACACTA